CTCGATGAAACGATCTCTCCACTCTTCCCTCCTCCTCGTCCTGTGTGTGCCTGACCATGCACAAAGCAGCCCATGCCAAAGCACGAATCTTCCCCTTCGTGATAGCCTCACGTGAACGCACACGCGGCAGTGGCCATGGTCCTTATACTGAATGCATGGTCTTTCTTGGTGCCCATTCTTCCTTCTCGTTGACCTGCAATCGACACGCACACGTGGCAGTGGGACACTTCCTCCTTCCTTCACCCTCTAATCGCATCGTCAAACGCGCGGGTGATCCACACCTGTCCACCCTACTCACCTCCCACCCACACGGTGCACCCCGTGTCTTCTGCTCAAAACGTGTGCGCAGTGGATGACGGGCTGTCCACGATCGGTGAAGGCAGTCTGTTAACACGTTGCGCTCGTGGCTCGTGGCGTGAAGTTGGCGGTGGCGGTGCAGGGGGCGTTCAAATTCAAATTTGAATTCGGCGTGTCTGGGGCCACGCCAGCGCTTCCCGCCGACTCAAATTTTGGTACCCCGCATATGGGCCGGAGGCGGAGGCCAAGCTGAACCCTTGCCACCATAGACCTTCGCCACCCTCGGTGGACGACAGTCAAATGTCCACGTCGTATTTTCATATATCTCCAGCCGTGGGCGACTTTGTGGGACTTGTCCAACAGAACAATTTTGTAGGAAATCGTGGAACGAGAAACGAGATTCGAGAAATCCAGTCACAAAATTTTGTAGGATAGTCCAACAAGACCCTACCCTGAGGGCCTCGCCACACTGCTCACCAAATGCATGAAAGACAAAAAAACTTATAGCAGTGCCTCTTCTTCCCATGTCCTGGCGGAAGATTCATCTCATTTTGTACATTTGGTGAGTAGTGCGACCAGGCCCTAAGTCTAGGACAGACAAGGGTAAACAGGGAAGTTGGTGGGGGACCTTGTCCGTGTTTCCGGGAACTTGCAGACGCCCTGTATCTCGTAGGCTTAGCGGTGCACGTAATGATGGTATAGGATCGCATGCAGTCCTATCGTTGCCTAAATTTTCTTACCCTGTGCACTGGACCGAGGCGGTTCATTCAGTGTCGGTGAATCCTTGATGCAGTTATGGTTGTTGTATTGGGAACGGATAGAATAAATGCACAGAGCGTGCTGATAGGAGTATTTACTCGTAGATTCTGAAGAAAAGGCCTTATGATAGAGTTGATGGTAGGCTTAGAGCAGTGCGCGCAATGATGGTACAGGACTGAATGCAGTCTATCTTTCTGACCTTGTTCATCTGGACCGAGGCGGGTTCACTTCCCGCAGTGGACGCAGTCATGCATGTTGTGTTGGGAATCGATAGAATCAATCTGCGGGATGTGAGGATAGGAGTATTACTCGTAGTCTTTTTGTTCATCTGAGCTCCGTCCCGAACTATATACATGCTGTGAATGGCCTTTCTCAAGGAGCGAGCAGAAGTACTTGTCAACGGCGAAATGTCTGATCCATTTCTTGTGTCAAGATCCGTGGGCCAGGGGTGTCCTTTTGCCGCCTTATCTGTAGGTATTGTTGTCTATAAAAGCTTCCATGCCATTTTTTGTGAGAGGGCGTTGGCAATTTATGGGCCCGCTGATGCCTGCAGGGCTTCAAGATAAAGACAAGGCTTTTGCAGATATGATACTACTACCTCTTTCCCTCTCCTGGATCAGCACCTTTTATATAGCAGCCTTGAAAGATTTTATTGCAGACTTGGTGCAAGTGCCTGAGGCAGCTGGTAATTGGCAGAAGTCGGGTGTAATTTTCGCAGCCAAAAAGTCGAAAACATGTCCATTCGTTGCTGTGGATAGGAATGCTACCAGCCTGGCGCAAAATATTCCCAGTCATGAGGCCGGCGGTCTTAAACCGCAAGTACAGGGCCCCAGCTGTGCAGTCCAAAACTTGTCGCCACTAGAAAACGAGGCGGAAACATCAAACGCTGGGCCCGCCGTTGATAAATATCGATCGGCGGCCCCGGTTTTGTTTCGCGCCTCCAAAATTTGAGGTTTCAGACCCGCGGCCCAGGTGCCCATGTACTGGTGGTTTAAGCGCACACCCATCTTTTGTCCAGAATATTTCCAAATATCTGTACCTGTTAGGCCCAGATTGTCAACTATTCCTTTTTCTTTTTCTTTTTTAGTTTTTTTTCCCTTTTTTTTTTTTTTTTTTTTTGGAGGATTAACCGCTCCCGGTTACAGGTGTGGGCACTGGGGATTTCGGAAAGGCATGGATGGACAGAAGATTCTGGGAAAAAATAATTATTAATGACTTAAAAGTTGAAAATACGGTGACCGATTTAGGGCATACCAGCACTAGGACTCTCCTTGATAAGGTGGATTATCACTTACAGTGTAATCAGTCAGGAGATTCTGCAGACTGTTGAGGGTTCAGCCTCTACTGATTGATGAGTCGGTGAAACTCCGGCGAAACAGTTTGTCGCAACCCCTCGTTTGTCGTCCTCTTCTCCCTCTCTGCTGACGGTTTACCGGGCAGTTCTGTTTGACGATATATGATCGCTTTTTCATGCCGGCCATGGTGCACCTAACGACAATGGCGTCCACAAAGTAGTGGAAAAAGTCCTAGTGTGAGTAATGCCCTTACATTCTCGCAGACTCAACATGCGCAGAAGATCTTGGCTGCCATTCCGCTGCCGTGGACATAGATGGTAACTCAGCGGACGCACACCTCGAGTACAAGGTGGCTGAAAATGGATGGCTGAAAATGGATGGAGATACCGCTCTTGAGAGATCGAGGACTGCTTCGGCTCAACAGGCACCATGCTGTGCTTACAGCCGAACGGGTCAGTTGGCTCGAAAATGGGAAATCCACACTGTCCATGGGTCTACCCTGAATCGCAGGTGGCGGGTTGGGCTATAGGGTCTGCACTTTTGTGTGACCCTGCCGTGCGGGTGGCAGGGTAGTTCTCTCGGTGGTGGGTTGATGTGAGAGGGAGTGCCACTCTCTGAAGGCTTGATCGTGGTGGGCTGTGGGCGGTGGGCGGTGAGCGTCCTTGTAGGGCATGAGATAACGGTATAGATGTGTGGTCTGCCTTAAATGGTGGCAAGAGAAAAAGCTAAGTGTTGGATAAGCAGATAAACAAGGGGGAAAAAAAAAAGGCCATTCCGGGCGGGCTTTCTCGTAACGAGGGTGGCTGTAAAAAAGTAATTGTGTGCAAGGGCCCAAGGGGCTCTTGGCAGTGAGGTCGAATAGGCCCTAAGTTGGGAACGACCCTTGGCCGGATGGAGAAAAGGGCCACCTCGTGGGGTTAAATCGCTAGTACCACCTTGCCTAGGCCTGCTCCCTGCCAAGGGAAGCCAGCTCCTTGTCCCTCTCTTTGCAGCCGGTGGGATGCCTGCCTTTTTTTTTTTTTTTTTTTTTTTTTTTAATGCCCGGCTTATAAATAGCTCCATACAGTTGTTTTCGTTGAAGTAGAGATGGCCTGCCGAATCTGCTTGTTTTGTTTTTGTTCTTGCACCTCCGTGGTCCCTCCTGTGACCTCGGCCAGCGGTGCCCGGCATCCTCCAGTTCTTGCACCTCTTTTTTTTTTTTTTTTTGCACTGTAAAACAATCTTTTATTATATAAGTCAGGAAACAGGTGCAGCATCCCTCCCAACTGTGTGCCTTGTTAAACTGGAGGAACTGTGCGCACACATTTGGGAGGGATGCCGGGCCTGTTTCCTGACTTATACCATAAAAAAATGTTTTACAGTGCGAAAAAAAAAGAAGAAGAGAGAATCGGACGGACGAACAGTGCTACCAGACCAAAATGGCTTGCATCCCCAGGCAAAAAAGAAAGAAAAAAAGAAAATGTTTCTGTGACTCTGTGGAGGTTTGTGTTTTCTTTTGGTGCGGAGGACGAATCTGGCTCGGCAGAAAGAGGCTCGGAGGTAGTGGTGTTAAGGGCCTGACCCGGATGAGACTGGACGGGCTGGTGTACGGATACCAGATCCAGTAGGCGGCCCTCGGGATTGCTCCGGAAGATCTGGAGCCGGAAGCACCTGGGCCTGGTAATTCAGGAAAGACTTGTGGCAGAGGCAATTCATTCAGGGAGTAGATGGGCTCTCAGGCTGCTTCAGCTCTGTGAATGTGATTAGCGCAAGAGGAGGCAGCACCCACCGTCAGCAGCCAAGCAGTGCCAGCCATTTCTCGGCTGTTGAAGAAGGTCAGTCCCACGAAGGCCTGGGAACGGGGACGTGAGAGAGGTGGTGGTAATGGTGAGTGTGCCCTTGGAGAAAGGGCTGGAACTTGGGGGAGGAAGGAGAAGACGAGAGCCATACCTGGTGTTTGCCAAGAGGTGCACGCGCTTAATATCGCCACCTGGGTATATTCGGTGGCAGCAGGGTTGTACTCTGTGGCATGGTATGCTGGCGAAGTGTGGGCTAGATTAGAAGTGTAGAGTACGTGATCCCATTGGCTGGTGGAGCGTCCAGCTTTGCGGGCGGGGAACTATTGTTGTTGTTGTTATTATGTGGATGGTTTCGAGGAAAGAAGGGGAGAGGCCATCACCAATATCTCCACTTGGGTATCGGTGGGAGTAGTGCCGTACTCTCTTGCATTGCATACTGGGGAAGTGTGATCCCATTGGCTGGTGGAGCATCCAGCTTTGCTGGAAACTATTATTGTTGTTGTTGTTGTTATGTTGAATGGTTTCGAGGCAAGAAGGGAGAGGTTATCGCCAATCAAGAGATTTCATGATTCGTCCTTTCTCGAATTGCGTTGTGGCCATATGAGAATTCTGGCTGGTCAGTATTTTATTATTTTTTGATGCACATGTGATCTGAGAATTCTGTCCGTTCTGAATTTTTCGTTGCCGGTGTTTTAAGAAGTCTGAAAAGACTCTGAACGTGTTGGGTAATCCCCAGTCCCGCTAAATCCCTAGAGTGTAGGGATTGAGTGGGACTGGGGATCTTCCTGTTGATCTGATGTCGAGGAGTTCTTATGAGTATAACTGACCAATGCATAAACCCTTTCTACTGTTTGTTTTGTGTTTTCATCAGCAACCCAGAGAAACTGAGGGATTTTATAAAGGCCGTTTATGTGGATAAACGGTATTGTGGAGCTGGAAGAGGGGGAGCTGGAGGGAGATCAGCCCGTTCGGTAATTTTCATGCTCCTCTGTCTGCTTACCAGTGTGGAATGGGAAGAGGGTGCGGGGCGGGGGGGGGGGGGGGGGGGGGGGGGGGGGGGGGGGGGGGGGGGGGGGGGGGGGGGGGGGG